ACATGGAATTTGTTTGTTGTAAACTTTTAAAATTTTCAACCTAGAAACACTCTAGGAAGTATAACCATAATTTTTTTTATATCTCAGTTGGAATAGTTCACTGATAAGATTTCAACATGCAGTACGTAACAACTTGGATTCGAATTTCTGAGAGATTATAAGTTTCGGAATAAGTTCTAATTTAAAGACTTATGGTCAATAGTTCATTGTTTAATGCAAAATCACAGTGACTCGGTAATATATGGAAATCATACACCAAATGCATTATTTACACAGCTTCTTTGTGTTGTTCTTCATAGACTCAACTATTCCTTTGATTCTGTTGTTATTTTAATTTCTTTCCGATTTCCTTCCTGTTCTGTTCATTTCAATCTTCCGCTATCAAGCACACTGACTTCAGATTGATGCTACTTACTACTCATCTCTGTTAGCATAAGTAGCAGATACCGCGATAATACAGTTCACGTCGATATACAATCATTTGATCTAATGTTTATGGTTTATAAAATAATCTAAATTTGTGAATGGAAACAATCAGCATGAAAGATTAATTGATTAGATTCAATCTACACCGGGAACTGAAAGAAGTTAATTAATTACTTTAACCTAATGACTAGTTAATGTATTTGGTATACAATTACCTGTTATTATACGTTAACAACGAATTAATCAAAATTAAAATATTTCCCCTATTTTTTTTCACTTTAGTCTGCATTAAGTGCAGGATTTACTAGTCAAGAAATTAGTGAATTAACCGGAGCAAGAGCAACTGGTTGGTTAACAGAAAATGGTGGACAAGTAGAAAATGAACTTGGACTTACTGGTGTACATCATGCTGGTAGCGTTGGTAGTGAATTTCATAATACACATTTTGGTGGAAGAAAACTTAAGATTGATCATAATAATAGTCCTGATGGCTTTAACACGGGACATTTTTCAGATGATGAAAATGAAGGTTCACGTTCGAATTATCCTCGTAATGTTCGATTACATGTGGGTGCTGCAAGTGCAGCAGCAATTGCTGCTGTCGCCGCTGGACTTACACCTAAAGTTCACTCGTTACATCCATCACTATTTCAAGGTGAAAATAAACGAAATGGTTCCGTAATTCGTGATATAAATGGCAATACTACACATGAAGCACCTGGTCTAACTATGGGTTTAGGATTGGGCATAGCAAATGGGGTTGCAGCCACTATCAGTGCTGCTCTATTCCCGAGTCATAATAATACTAGTCATCATCAGCATCATTCAGCAGAGACTCATCATCAACCAACATCAAGAATACCACCTCCAACAATTGCTGCCGCAGCTGTAGCTTCTGTAGTTTCGCCACCATTAAAAGACTTAGGTATTCATCAAGTGGAAGGAAGTGATGGAACACATGGTAAGCAAAATTATTGATTTTTTCTGGGTATTTTCAAATCGATATATTTATCCACATATATATAGATATATTCGTAGATAGTACTTTCATTCATTTTCATATGTATTTATTGTTTATTCAGTCTATCAAAGTAGATCAGCCCGTCAAGCAAAACAACGTGAAGAACAATTAGCACGAGTAAAACAGGAAGTTGAAGCTAAAGCTTTAGCATTACAAGCTACTGCAGGTGGTCGACGAAAACGTCGAGATAAAGAAAGAAGACAAAGAAATCTTGATGGTTATTGGGATTCACATGATGAACGTTATCATAATCATGGAACAAATGATTTATCACAACATTCTCATCAATGGAATGGACCACCCGTCCGATCTATGGCAAGAGCATGTCCACCTGACGATTGATTATTTGATTATTTATATACTTATTTAATAGACTAACAACTTCAATGACTGATTCCTGTCTCTTTCTTTTTTGCTGGTAACTTTTTTATTTTACACATTGCTCATGAATGCTTCCACATTCATTTTTATTTTTTGTTTGTTTCTCATTTACAAGAAATGTATCTGTATACAATTTAAATCAAAAGACAGTCAGTAACAACGTAGAACGTCGTACGTATGTACATCAATCCGAGTTGCCATACTAAATTAGCACAAAGATGCAATTGTCAATTCAAATCCCATAGTGTTAGATGTAGTAAAATTATAAGCTGTAATCAAGAAAATTAGGGTTTGAAGATGTTATTCAAGGAGTGTAATCCAGTGAAAGAAATTTGGAAAGAGAAAAAAGAAAGGGATATGAAGAATTCAGAAGATTAGGATTTGGGAGAACACAAAGAGTGGATGCACCTGCGCCATTGCAAACGATTTTGAGCCATGTCATTCAGGGTCTCTAACCATCGGTTGCTATCAACTCGCGGTCCCCAACCAGGTAGTCTACACCTACCAACATGACTCAGTCTACTTGTCAGTGACTTCATGGATTTGTATCATGTTTTGGTCTGGGCGCCCTTAGCTCTCTTCCAACCTACTCCTATACCATAAAACATTGCACGTCGAGGTAGTCGGTGGTTGGGCATACGTAACATGTATCCCAGACATCTCAACTGATGAAGTGTCATTACTCCATCAATTGATTTGCCACCTTTACCTAGTACCCGTTTCTTAACAACTGCATTACTTACTCGATGGTCCCAGGATATACAAGCAATATTTCGAAGACACCTATGATCAAATACTAGTAACCTACGAATATCCTCTACTCTTACCGGTCATGTTTCACTGCCATAAAGTATGACGAAACGAACTACTGCTCAGTAAACCCATCCTTTGGTTAGTAGACGAATATCTCGCCTACGCCATAAATGACGCAAGTTGGCAAAAGCTAGTCGAGCCTTCTGTATCCATGCTGAGATTTCGTCACACACCAGATCACAAGGGCTGATGAGATTTAAATCAAAAGTGATTTAGTGATTCTGCAACTATATTTAAAATATGAGAAACTTGTTTAAAATATGTATTCACAATAATCATACAAAATAAGTAGATGAATAAGAACAATGATAAATAAAAATTAATGAAAATAAAATTCTCAAAAAGAAAAGGAATGACTTTGAAAAGACTATTGCATCTTTTTTTGTCACATACAACCAACTTCCTTTATACATTTGAACAAAGGCAAAGCGGAAAAAACATGCGAAATAGGATAAAATTAATTTTATTTTACGGTTTATTTTTGACTGCATACAACCATATTTGTATGATGTAATAGATATTGATGATTGGAATAATAGAACGACAATGATTACCAATATTATGTATATATAAGCAGAGATGACTGGTGGACAACAGGGAAATTTTAGGGATGTGCATTTCATCTTGTCCTAAACTCATCATTAGTTGGATGTGCTTGCACCCTAGAGTTAATATTTACTCAGGGACTCGAACCTAGTACCATTCGCTTCGAATGTCATTGAATTATTCATTTAACTACAGATGTATATCCATCTGATAAGACACAAATAGGACGAAATGAGAGTCTTTAGGATTTCGTTGTTAACCACTATCCATCTCTGTACATATATATATATATACGAATAAGCAAATGTGAGTTCATTTGAAGATAAATATCGAAAACATGTAAATGATTAATGATTGTATGATTCAAATAGGGTTGTAAAGAGCTGAATAAAAAGTATAAAAGAAAAAAGAATCTATATTATCCTGTTCCAATTACTGTAGTTGTTCTAGTTTTATTCCTGCATTTGTAATGCATTTAAACCTCCGTCTTATCTCTTTTTTTTTCAAAGAAAATATATGATGAAATATAAATATTCAAGTAATCTGTATGATGAACTCATCTAGCAATTGAATAGGTAGGTAGTATAATGATGATGATGATGACTTACACAAATTGTTCATTCTATTTATAAGGTAAAGTACAATACAGTAACCATTATCGATATTAGAACATTTCAACTAAAATTTACGTATCTGTTCAGGTTTTCTGATGTATTTACCTTTTTCCTGGAAAAGAAATTCATAGAATTAGAACGATGGAATTAATATGACAATTATGATCCCTGTTGTTAGATTAATTAGTGATAAACAAGCTGAAGAAAAATTTTTTTATGGAGTTTTGTCCTCGGAGCAGGATGGCTTGATCGTGGAACTTTCATTGTTCTTCTGAATGATATCATCAGCACAAACTTCAGGTAGAAGTCTACCTGTCCACGATCAAACCATCTAGTTCATCTACCTGAGCTATAAATCTTCTCCATCATCTAAAAAACTGAAGGAATATATTATTCACTAATAGTTAGTGTTGAACAATCTAATCTCTAAGCAAATTAGTAATTTCCTAATGTAATTGTCATTTTTACTGATTCATTTTATTTGATTGTCAGTTGCAGAAAAAAAACTAATCGCAATGATTTTTCCCATCAAACAAGTAAGTAAACGCTGAACAGTAATCTGATAATCAAAATCTCAAACATTTTAACTGATATTTATTAAAATTCGTAACAATGTGAATTTTCTCGTCGTTCATATTCAGGGCTGATTCTTTGATTTATATGTATGGCATATGGGCCCCTAATCACCCTGTTACAGCCAAGGGTGGGGAGGGTCCACATGGCCACGTGTATACAACCACTACCAGGGAAGTCCTACTCAATGCCTTCTCGCGGCATTACTGTTGTTTACAAAACTGAGAGGACGAAAAGCGAATGTCCGGCGCTTTAACCGGGTTAGTGGGCTCGGAGGGTTCACCTAATGGAGTTAGAAAACCTTGATTCCAAACCAATTGTGTATATCGACCCCCGGATCCTGAGGTAAGAAATCGCGTATGAACCAATTACTGGTCACCGGCTACCATGAGACTGCATCACCTTACGTTGCTCCACTGCCTTGTGGACCAGACTTTAATGGCCTGCGATCTGACACCAGTGAGATAGTATGAATGATTGTTATTGAGATACACATATCGTCAATCCTCGTATATAATCATCGACTTAAATCGCGTTAGTCAATAACGGAAATAAATAAGTCAAATACGTGAATCAATTTCGAATACGTATATTTCATACAATCTTTGATCCAGACAAAATATCGGTGAAGCGAAGCGAAACGATGCGCAGTGAAGAAGGCATATGAGACAACTCCATTTAGTCAAGCGTTAATCAATATTTATAGTCACACAAAAATAGGCTACAGACATTTGATGCATAGGATAAGAAGTCTACACATACGGTCATATGAAAACAGTCAATGTTGTTAAGCGAATAATTAGCAAGGTCAAAATGTGACTCAAAAAGGATGAATAGATTGGCTTGTCAGAAATCTAGAATAAGATATATGGGCTTAACACAATAACCGACACTACAAGACCATTAGGTCGAAGGATCCGAGTGTGGAGGCTTAAGAAAACCACCTGCTTCGGTCTAGGCACTCAGGCAGTATCACAGTCCACACTCAAATCAAGTGATTTGTGTGGCACATATGTATTCGGTACCGCTTTGTACCAATATTTATGTGTTCAACTAAAGTAATAAGTAAATAATAGCATATGGGCACTTTGAGAGAATTAATTGATTTTACCTGTAATTAAAAGTCTATGATATTTTTTACACAGTAGGATTCAGGACACATGTTTTGGATTGTTTAAGACCCGTTAGCTGAATGTTCTTTAATTCCAGACTGACATTCCAACCCGCTGTTGATATTCAGAACCGAACTTGACCATCTTTGCTTGTATAAATGGGTCATAAAACAGCTTTGATCTGTTAAGCAACTATTTAGCAAAATTGTAGTCTACCGAGTGTATCAACCTCTTCACTTACATTGGAAGTCTCATCAGTGTTGGAACATTGGTGTCTGACGAAATCTTAGCACGGATTCGGAAAGCTGTCTTGGCCTTTGTCTACTTTTGTCACTTGTGCTGAAGGAGAGTTGTCCATTCATTAACCAAAGGGGGAGTATTCGGCACGACATTCCACCATCTATAACTCTGGTTGTGTAAATAACCTATGAAGGTAGGGGACTTGCGTATATTGCAGGATAATGATCATAAATATCTTCGATGCGTTTCCCACGTACTGTGCAACGAACGAGGCTAAGCGTGAGATATAAGGTGAAAAAAGCAAATCCTCTGGTGAGGTAGTAAACCTTCATTGATTGGGGTGGTTAGAATATACATCACATTTCTCCAACTGCAGTTTGCCTTGACGCGTGGTGTATAGTCTTTCTTTTATCATTGCTTCTACATCATTTCGGTCTTATTTTTAGCCTTTATCTCATCGTGAGAATCAGGAATGGAAGCATAATAAGCCCATTGAATTTTTTAGTACCCACCCGCTGTAATTTTGACAATTAACCCACTATGTAAACGTACGTGTGAGTTTGAGTGAACGAATGTCTGCACTGCAATCTCTATCTATCCTCTTATTGATTGTAAACACAGACAATCAATAAATTACCCGCAATTGATTAACTTCATAAAATACATATAGATATTTCGACTTGCAGCTTACACACTCACTTCCTAGTGTGCTTTTCCTCTTGCGTGCTCGCAGATTTTATTATTTATTAACAATACACTCTTCCAAAAACTGGTGTTATGGCTTTCGAATAAATTCATAGCACTACTTGAAAAATTGGCCTGCCTAAATACTCACTTAACGAGACTTCATCAGTTGGAGTCAAATGGGGAGGAATTAACCTCTACGGAAGCTTCTACTAACGTACATTTATGCTAAGGCTTTAGACTGATTGAACTATAGAATCACACTACAGAATAAACTGATGATTTGCACAGGTATATACTTTGCAATTCGGATTGAAAGTTCATTTAATCATCTATGATTCATTATGATTTGTTAACAATTATAGTGATAGTTAAAGAAGTTGTGAAATACTTATACAACAGACATATATAATCACTATTGAGCCTAGTACAAATGTGCAAGCACAAGTTGTCACACCTGATTAACAAAACGAAATGAGAGTAACAAAAGATATCAGGATGATGTAGTAGCAATGATAAAAAGAAACACTATGGTTTAGGAAGACAGAGTGAAAAGTTAGGTATGAAGGGATACTGGCGTTCAAGATCGAGAGGGCGATAGAGAGTGAATGTATTTAGGCTACTGACCGATTTTTACTCATCACCCGAAATCTCCAACCACTGATCGTGTTTATCATCTGGACCCTAACCAAGAAGTCTGTACCTGTCAAAATTGACTCAGGCTGACAGTCAGCGACTTCATGAACTCATGCGACGCTTTGGTTTGCCCTTCTCTAATTTTCCTTAGTCTCGTTTTGCGCTAACTAAGCGTCGCTCGTTGAGATAGGCAGTGGTTAGGTATTCGTAAAATATGTCAATAAAGATTTACAACCTCATTAACCGATCTGATACCTATGTCAAGTAGGCTACAGCTAGCTTCAACATGTTATTCGGTCGTTCCGAGAAAAATATTTGGAAGTCAACTGGAAAAGATTATCGATCGGGATGATTATTTTCTCGGCATGCGATATTATTATAGGCAAAAATGTGTATTTAAACTCGTATTTCTACATAACTAGCAGATAGACTTACTCTTTCTTGATAACGACGTTCATAATAATCTAATTCTAATTCTCCTGGACGACGCATCTGTGACTCAACTTCATGACGTTCACGTTCAGCGCCTATAATTTAATAATGCAAAATGACTATATTACTAGTACTTAAAATGATAAAACCTTTAAAATAATCATCATCAACCTTCTATTGAGTGTGTCATTGCAAAATACCATTTAATACGAGTTTTCTCAACTAAGCGATAACAGAATACAGTTGGTGACCAACATGCATGTTCGATATTTACTGCACTCCAATAGGTGATAGTTATAAGCTACCGAGAAGAAATCTTGGACTCAAAAATATTTTGTTGGTTGAAACTCATCAAAAAAGAATACAGATTGAATAGCTAACTATCACCATACCCATGCTTGTGGCAATGATTGGTGTTAGTTCGAATTTCATGGAAGGCATCAGTCCCATCAAGATTATAAACACATCTTGTTAATGTATACCAATCAAAGGTTGAAATCATGAGTCAATTGAAGCTAGACCGCCATGAAAAACCTGGAAGCACTGTGAAATTTCTAAAAATCTCCACAAAACCCATTCTTATAATAATCTTCTGCTCACTAGTGACTGACTTCAGGAGATACTCCTGGAGTTCTAGTGAGAGGCCGTTACCAGTGGAGTTCAACCAGGTCTGTTGTGAGATATCAGCTCACTGAAGACAATGGTGTACGGTGGCGCAACTTCTTGATCTGGTTGAAGTTAGACATCAACACCGTTGGATGCCGGCCGGCTCAGTGGTCTAGTTTGTTAAGCTCCTGGCGCGAGACTGATAGGCCCTGGGTTCGAATCTCGCAGGGGGTGGGATCGTAGGTGCACACTGCTGAGGAGCCCCATACTAGGACAAAACGGCCGTCTAGTGCTTCCAGGTTTTCCATGGTGGTCTAGCTTCAATTGACTCATGATTTCAACCTGTGAAGTTTCTAAAAATCTCCACAAAATCCTTTCTGGTATACCAATCAGGACAAAAGCTATATCTATAACATCCTATCGATTGCCTTCACCTACCTAAGCCCTAAGAAAAGTGCATTACAGTGTTACACCACTTGGGCTAGATAACACATTACAACTTCATGGATGAAATTTTTATTGGGATTGAAGATTAAATAATATACTGTTGATTATTATTCAATGGTTAGTCAGTGCATACTCCGAAATACTAATATCGTTTTTCATTATTCATTGCCTAGCTTTCAACGTTTATTTCTATTGTACTTTTCTGTAATACATATTTTACTCACAAACACAAAACTTAAGAGATGATTGTGTTCTAAGATCAGAATTCTTGATAATCATTAAGGTTCTTAAAATCATCAGTTCAAAATGGAGATTTTGCAGGCCGGTATTCCTATAGAACATTGTAGTTGGTTCTCACTCAATAATTTAAAATCAATGATAGTCACACGTCATTATGCTTGTTTGTTCGAAAATAATTGGCTTTAACTCTAAAATAACTAAACATATATCCTCTTGTTTGTTTACTACATGTCATTGTTTAGAGTACAGCCGTCCTCTAAATATAACTCATTCGATATATTGATTTTAAAAAAGTGACTTGGTTAGGGGTTATAACAAGAACCTGAACATTGGTGATCAAAACGGTATTGGATTTCATAGTCAGTTTGGTCGAATAATCCAATTGGTTTGATGTGAGTGAATAAAATATACTTTATCTTGAAAAAAAACACAACTAAATTACCGTTCGTATCATTAACTGCTAACTTATAATTAAAAACTCCTTGTGCATGACTACGGAGAAATGGATTATCTACAGATGTAATTGACTTATTCATTTCTTCCTCTGATAATAATTTGCCTGCACCGCTTGTATCCATACGTGTTATACCAGGTGCAAGTGAACTAAATCCAGTTAGTCCACCCATAGCTTGATATGGTGATGTCTGACCTATTGGTTTACCTCTACTATGACGTTCTTCGGCAGTTTCCATCTGGTTGTAAAAAGTAAGACATAAGGAAATATTTTACACGGTTAATTAAACTATTGGGAATTATTTGAAATATTAGATCTAAATGTACATTTGCTTATCAGTTCAATAAATATGCGAACTGAGGTTATACAAACCTCATTTTACGGAATTTAGGATATATATTCATGTACTTACCTATCCAGTGCTTAAAGAAGTTTTCCGAATGTCGTCCGCTATTTTTGTGCATGTTAGAATTCATGTGCAAAACATACTTAAAACTTCAATGACACTTATATCTTACAGATCTGGATGTGTCTCTTGGGACTGTACTAGAGACAGATTGAGTTCTTAAGATTGTTGAGCATTTTTGGTTCTTCTTCATCTTGCATCAGACTGATATTAAATTAAAGTGTTTGAATGAAAGTGATCAGTGAAAGTATAAGAGTATTCAAGAATCTTGTATAATATCGATTACTACCTCAACATACAACAAGGAGATGCTCTTTATGTAATGACAGCGCTCAACAAAATGATATCACTTGTATCAAAGTTAGTTTTAAATTAGGGATTGTTACATTTCAGCGTACAGTATATTTTGTGTATGGATGACTGAAGTTAGAGATGTAGAACTTGTGAACTGCAAATGGTAATGATAACTGCACGGGTATAACAAAATACCATACTCACCATTGTTTTCTTGAGAGCTGTTTGGAATTACTGGATTCTGCAATAGTTAGGCCTATTAAATGTTCAGTATTTTATTTACTAGAGCACCAAATTTGAGAGCATTTAACATTCACCATTATATCCATAATCCTGATGAAGCTTTGATGATCTATATCTATTTCATAAACGAATCAAAAGCGATAAGGATAAAAATTTTCCAACTAATTTGATGTGTCAGTAAATTATTCGTTCACTTCCCCATAACGCTTAACTCTAAGTGAATCGGTACAAATTCAACACACCTACATTGTTATTATCGGTCACAAATGAAGTTGAAATTCTTGTCTTATTTATAGGTGTCAAAATAGAAACGCTAAGTAATACTAAACTGCATTAAAATTCAAACTCACAATCATTTCATGTTTATGTAACTCGATACCACAGTCACATCGCATACTTGTTCTGAAACCATTACAATTGCAATCGGATTTTGAACAAAAATAAGGTGTTACCTAAAATTAAATAGACAATAACTCTACACAATATTCTGAAAGAGTAGCTTAACTGAACCACAAAATGATCTTAAAACAATTAATACTTATTTTAAGATTCATATTCAGCTCACTTTATGCTAAAATTAGATCTTTAGACCCAGTAAGAAGCTATCAGTGAAAATACAAGGGGAAATCCTAAAACTTCCGAAATTGTTCTCAATATCTCGGTATTGGATCTGAAAATGTGACCTTGAGGATATCGAAGCTGAAATTGTCGTGTATGAAAGGAAATTCAAATAGATGATAACTAAGTGCATGCATTAGTTTTTACAAACAATCAAGATCTAGCTTCAATTGACTCATGATTTCAACCGGTGAAATCAAGATCTATAATCTTAACTTTTAATCTTACGTTTGAGTCTCATTTCAATCCACTCTAAGTGGCCATATAGTATTTTCGATACACATAGAAGACACGTTTGGCTAGATAATTACGAATTTGCATACGTTTTAAAAGTATAATTTAAAATTTTATTGTTTATGATATTCTATAGTGTGCTACATATAGATCCTCCATAGATTTATATGTTTGAAGATAGTTTTTTAGTTTACTCTAGCAATTTTTGACGTTTGATTCTGTTTTATTATTATAATACAGGGATCAACTAAAAACTGACAAAATTCAGATCAACTATCATAAAAGCGTAACAAAATAGTGAAGTTGATGGGGTTTTGTTCTCTGAGCTGGATGGTTTGGTCGTGGAGCTTTCATCGTTCTTCTGAAAAACATCATCAGCACAAAGTTCGGGTAGAAGTGAAGTGTTCGAATTTCTCCATATGCGTTTCACAGCTTGTTCTGTACACTTCGACGTTGATTGGTTCTTATTGGCCTCAAATTTGTCATTGTTTACTTCTTTCTATCTGAAGTTTGTGCTGATGTTGTCGTTCAGAAGAATGATGAGAGCTCCACGACCAAACCATCTAGCTCAGAGAACAAAACTCCATCAAATTCATCCACCTGAGCTACAAATCTTCACCATCTCAAAATAGTGAAGTAGAAATTATCTCATTAAGTCTACTTACGTATGGAAGTGTAATGACGATTACGAAACTATTATGATTCTTTGAAATAATAAGTGTTTACAATATCTGTTATGGGTCTATGCTCCTTACACTTTTCTTTTTTGATATTACTAATGATATGGTAAATTCAACACCAAGGATAATATATTTTGTAGTCTCTATACTTGATCAGTTTCAAAAGGATACATAATTTGTATGCCTAAATAAAGACCACTTCATTATATTGTTTTTAATTGCTGAGTAATATATGAAAAATTATAACACGTTATTATTTCGCCAGAAGCAATTTTTGGAAGGATAAATAACCTCATAAGACTAGGTAATATGTTGCTGAATACGTAAAGTAGATCATCACAGAAAATTTTGAACAGAATAATAGAAATTCTTGAAATAAGAGTTAAGTTAGTGTTGTTAGGTCAGTGGACTCGTAAATCAAATAGATGTTGATTTTAGTTACATCACTGATGTCTTCGATATGGTAATAAAATATTTCTTAACAGAAACATAGCTATCATAGTTTAAATCACGAACTGATCTTAATTAGACCATCTTTGTAAACCATAAAGCACTGGACAACTGTTTCATTTTAGTATGGGACTCCTCAGCAGTGCGCGCCCACAATCCTGCCTCAGAGAATTGAACTGACAATCTTCAGTATCACACGCGAACACTTCATTTCTAGACAATTAAGCCATTGTTCAACGGCAAAAGGTGGACGCAATAATCAATCATTTTTTCAATATCGACTTTCCACTACATAAATTTCCACTGTAAAACACCATTGTTTTTAGTTGATTTACCCTTATGGTTACCGTAATTATCAATAAATAGATCGGTAGAATCATATTTTGCATAACTCGGTGATAATAATCTGCCATAATAATATTCGTTAAAGCTTCAATAAACGATAATTGATCACTTTTTGATCAAAGCCTATCACTGTGATAAATGTAGTCAAATTAGGGATTGATATAATTCTGGTTAACATTAGTCAAACACTAAACATCATTTCAAATAACTTCATCAGTCTTTAAAATAACCCTGTATAACGAGGAAAAATGTATTTGTAAAGTCTCAGCGAATGAATTTTACAAATACATTCTTTCTCTTTAATGTCTCACATTAACTCGGCGCCCAAATACTGTGGAATTATTCGATCAAATTTAGACGAACGTTCTTATTTATTAACCCTGCATAACTTTTCATTAAAACGTTTGTACTATTTGTTTACACACAAATACCACACACGGCATGCTTATATTATTTAAAAAATATATATTCCGCAAATCATTAAGCTCTTAAAAGAGTTACTCAGTATTTACAATATTTTATCCTGCTTATATAGAAACAACGCATCAATTAATCATTTTTGCTTAGGAGATGAGATCATTCCTTTTGTAAACATAATGTCAGACACAAAAACATTTGTACTCTTAAGCCATTTTTTCTATGTTTTGTGCTCGTAAATAACGAGGAATGCTCTAATGGTCTGCAGATTCTCTGGAAAGATGTTTAGAACTATTTATTGCTAGCTTACTATTTACAACTAATAAAAGTATGTAAAACTGACCACACTGTGATCGGTCGCATAATGTTTACAATGACATCGTGCAATTTGGCTCCCGAATTTTGGCATCACATGAAAACTCAAACATCTGCAATGTTTACATGGTAACTGTATAGGACGTTCTGTAGGTATTGTCTCGAAATCTGTCTTATGTTGTATAAGCCTAGCAAAAAAGGGAGAAGAAGAATGGATACAAAGTTCACGACATAAACTGGGTCAAACTGTATGCATTTATGATACGACCCGTAGTTCACAAAACAAATGCAGAGAAAAACAATTAACCCAGTGGTGTGCGTTCTAAAAAGAGCAGTGATCTCGTACTTTTTGCAAACTAACTTTGCTTTTGTGTATTTATTGCATTCAAAGCATACTTGGTTGACTTTAACTTGAATGATCGCGGTTGGGGTTTGAAAATGTTTTCAAATCCGTTTTGTGTTAGATGATTCTCACGCTAATGATTAACTTACGTGTTTCTGTCAATTTTCCCCCGTAGATCTGTTTACAATCGTTGACTATACTTATAAATAAGGAAAGCTGAATTGTTTCGTCCGTGCAAATGAAGAAATGCAATATGGTGAATGTAGTAAGTGGTTCCACATGTAAAACCCCCGAAGCCTAACTACCATTCATTCTGCATGTTTTGCTGTTCGAGTATGACATCACTGATCCAGGAGGCGATGGGCCTTCTGGCGCAGGACAGCAAGAAAGCTTCTGGTGGCTGCACTGATATTATTAGTACTGATAGCAAAGAAATTTTCAATGTATTCTGTGCTGTTACTAGACAAACCAAAAGCCCGGATGAAAAACATGAAAAAGCCAAGTCTCTTTAGAAACAAACAAAGGATGAAATACCACTGGATATTGTTGGTCACCATTCTACAGTAGTACCTAAGAATTCAGATAAAACCGTCACCGTCCCAAGTAGTTTTGATGTGGCTGTCTTGACTGATGCGGAGCGGAAGATAGTGCAGAAGCTTAGAAGAGAAAGAAAATAGTTACAAACAAAGCTCGTTTGAATGACAAGTCTTTGATAGACTCACTCTGGGTCATAGAAGACACTGCAGAAGTCCCAAAGTAAGACTGGACTTAATCCTAGCGTGGCTGGAGAAAGCCTAGTCTCATCAAATATTATTGTAGGTAATTTTTGAGAAGCAAACGACCCTGATTTAAAAACTAGACACGCGTATGATTTGGAAAAGGTCTGAGCATTTATTCATAGCATCTTACCGGATAACACCGCAGATGATATAAAAAAACCGATAATTGGCAAGAGGACCAACAAAAATGTTGAACCCTGATCATATAGACTCCTTAAGGTAATCCTGGGGTTGGGAAAACAACGAAATATTTTGTTAACTAGTACTCAAAGTCACGATAACACCTAAGTTCAAGTAAGATTCGACATGTCTCTAGGAGATAGAGTAAAAATAAAGGTGGCACTGTCTGAACTAGAAACGCGTAGACAAAATGGCGAAAAGATCTCCGCCTAATGTGTTTTTGAGTATTCAGGTCTTGTAAGTGAATTCTTTTAGATTTTGTGTGGATAGATCGTTAGTTTTAGGAGCTTCATATGAAGATTCTCATGGTCTAAGAAGTCGATTCCATGAACTAGGAGTATTAGTGGACAAATTAAAGACACTCATTGTAGCTGTAACCGAAACTTGGTTAGTCCATAACTTTGACGTCACTTCAGAATTGTCGGGAAACAACTACCTAAGAAGTGACAGAAATAGATACAGGAAAATTGTGGGATTCTTATATACAGAGCTAATCATATAAACATTTGTTCGTTCGTCTGTGAATTACATGATAGTGGGACTTGTGAAGTTACTAGCTTTGAACTCACTCTTGAAGGTTGTACATTTATATTTGGTGTAGTATACCGTAGCTCAATCTGCTTAGTTGACGACTTTATCTCAGAGCACATTCAGTTATAGAGTAGAATAACGGATGCCTGATATTACATTTTAGTGCACCCGATATTAGTTGGAGAGAGATTGCCACTGTAGGATTTGAAAACTCTTTTGGTAGTAAGCTCCTGATAACGGTAATGGAGCATGCTTTAGTATAGCACGTATCGAAATCCACACAGTTTGGTCCAAACCAAGAATCTCCTTTTTTAGACTTAGTAATCACTTATGCGACTGAGGATCCTACCTACCTTAATATTCCATTACCATTAGCTAGTAAGAATCATGCTGTTTTATCATTTATATTTGAGGCTTGTAACAGGAGATGAATGAATTAGACTCCATCCAAATCTGTGAGGATCAAACAATAATAGCTGTACAAGAATGTGCTACAACGACAAATTGGTCAATAAATACTAGCTCATCAATTGAAGAAGCATGGTCTTTATTCAAAGGTACACTTAGCTTAGTTCCGTTTCCATTTATACTGTGCTTAGTATCACGTAGACCACATAACTTTCCATCATGGATAAATAAAAAGATCAAGAAACTTCTTAGACGTAGGCCAAAGCATTCGAATATAATAATCTCTACATGCTCTGAACATTACAGATCCACATATTGTAAGACTGGGAAAGTGTGCAAAGAGTTGATAATTAAAACTAGATTCTCAGATGAAAAACAATGGGTTAGGGATTGCGAAAGTGGTCTGAAAAGGTTGTTTTCGTATATAAAGAGGTTAGCTCAGAGGACTGATAAGTTTCTACCACTTCCAATACTACAAAGTCCGTTGATTTTGGTGAGAAATAATGTTGCAAATACTGAATATTTACCAGAATGTTTTAGTAAAGTGTTTTCTACAGACTACGACGAAAGATCAACAGTTAATTATAATAATGGAGGCATGTCAACGAATCCTCTGCTTATTAAGAAAGGAACTGTCTTAAGACTACTTCATATCTCAAACCAGATAAGTCCTGATGATATTCATCCGAGGATTGTGAAAGCTCTGGAGACTGTAATTGCTGAACCTCTTGCAATACTGTTTGATATGTCTTTGAGGCATTGTAAACTGCCAAGGGACTAGAAAGATACAATAATCAGTTCAGTGTATAAGGCTTGGAGCAAGGACCTAGTCGGTAACTACCGATCCATTAGTCTAACCAGTCTATTTGTAAAACTGGTGGAAAGAATTGTTTGGATGGCCATTTTAAACTATGTGGAGGGACATGATATTCTATCCAGGGAACAACACGGTTTTAGGAGAGGCCTGTCATAGTTGACAAATCTGCTCGTTAAAAGAGAGGATTGAGTTGCACCAAAAGGTAGTGATATTCCAGTAGATGTAATTCCCATGGATCCAAGTAAAGCTTTTAACAAGGTCTGTAATCCGGGTCTTAAATTGAAACTACGGTTTAGGATTTCTTACGAAATCATAAACTGAATAAATAACTTTCTTAGTAATAGGAAACGGCGAGTAAGGGCAAGTGGAGCTCTCTCAACATGTGAATCTGTGGGAAATGGAGCTGTCCAAGGTAAAATTTTCGGCCCTCTTATTTTTCTACTTTATGTAAATTTCTTACCAAATTCACCTGTTCTACTCTTTGACTATGACGAAAAGATTTGTAGACCTACAAACAGTTTGTTAGATAGAATATTACGAGATGATTTAAATTCATTGGCTGCATGAATGGACAGGCGGTCATTAGAAGTAAATTTTAACAAGTCTAGTGATGCGAATAAATAATTGTGACGATTTATCTCACTACACAATATGAGGATTAGTGTTCCCTAAAGTAGTGGACTATAAAGATTTAGGAGTCTTAAGAAGCCACGAACTTAGAACGGAAAGTAACTGAAAGACTATCGTTGTCAAAAGCCTCAGGATCTTAAGGGCTATTCATAGGTCATTTGATTACTTGGACGAAGAAATGTTTAGAGTATTATACCCTATTTTCGTGAGGGTGCTTGTGGAATATGAGATTGAAGAGTGAGGCGAATATGCTAAAATGTGTTCAACAACGAAGGACCGAAATGGTGAAAGATCTCGTTGACTTATCTTGTGAAGGAAAACTGGGACGCTTTGACTTTTTTCCGTTATCTTACCACAGACTACGGGTTGATCTAATATTGGCTTATCGTATACTGAACGAAGACCTTGGCACTACTGTCATATCTTCTCCTTCCATCTAAGATTAATCATTTGCGAAGACATTCTATGAATGTTCATGAAAACCGATATAAAATACTTTACTTCTGGAGTCCATCTCTCGCACCAAGTAGTGGATTACTGGAATTATCTACCAGAATGCGTAATACACATTCAAAAGGAGACTGTAACTACACAGTGTTACAAACTTCAAGGACTGATATGGGCCAGTTGACCTCTATCCTTACTATTGAAAATTGAAGTGTTGGATTTCGAAGAGAAGGTAGGTGGAAGTTTGACGGAAGAACTTTCCATATAATCTTCAATAGTTTTATCCGTCCCCATTTAGAGTACGGAAACATAGTATTTCCCTCCTCACTCCAAAAGGATAAGGACACCCTGGAGCGTATTCAACGGCGAGCCACGAAATCAGTTCGAGGACTCAAATTTAAACCTTATGAAGAGCGCCTTCATTCACTCAACCTTTACCCATTAGAGAATAGACGTCTTAGAGGTGACCTTCTGATGGTTTACAGTATCCTTAACACTTCTGGACATACTCTCAAACACCTACTTAAGCTTAGTTCCAACACTAACCTAAGGGGTAACACCCAGAAACTGGAAACACAACATAGCAAGACGGAATGTAAACACAACTTCTACTCCTTAAGAGTTGTCAAATGCTGGAATTCGCTGCCAGCCGAGCTAGTCGAAGCGACTTCTCAGGAGCCCTTCAAGAGGCAACTTGATCTATTCTCAAGGACCAAGGACAGCATCACACTATGATTTACCAATTTCTTTTCCTCTTTTATTGTGAACATACCTAGGTTCCTGCCTGGAGGACTTGATGATCCCTTGCTACTAGACACGGAAGCCTGTTAAAAGAAAGCTTCTTCTATTCCGTCCACAACCATTTGAATCTGGCTGATCTGGTAATCAGTCGTTCCACCTAATAAAACTTAGCAGTGGAGTTTATGAAGTGACAATAAGAACTGTGAGGCTTTATCTAACAGAAACAGTGAATGCAATTGTAATAAAATAAAAACAAGCAGGTTAAACCAAACCTGTTTAAAAGTTTTATGATACTTTACCGGTGTTGGCAGAAACATTCACTTTGTGGACCGGCAAGTATGCAATCCACTCCATTTGGATTTGTCCAAGACACAAAAATTCTGTTTTGACTTCTCTTAGCTTAATATAATTAATTAGTTTTGCATACCAATGGTAAGTATTTGTTCTTGTAAGCTTCATATTGCTTGGGTGTGAAAAGTTTTCCATTGTCATCATCGCCCACAATTCTGCTGTAGATTATAAATGACATCTTATGGTAAGCTACCGTCTATACTCTTCGTATGCATCAATAGATTTAAGATCTTCGCTACTAATTTTAATGGAACTTCCCCCAAAATTCATGTTTGTCTCACATTATCATCATAACAACTAATATTGGTTGGCCGATAAAAACAAATCTGTGAAACTATGTCCATGTGGTGCATTAACATAATTGTTTGATTCATTGATTTTATTATATTGGTATCACAAAACTGAAAGTGATCTCCAGAGGCGCTTGCTCAGATTAGTCCAATGGTTCTGAACAGAGTAGAGGAAGCTTTCACTGACGGGCGTCCTTATTTAGGAGCGGTAGGTCGACGATGCCACCAAGCAGGAACCTATATATATTTAACGATAAAATAAAGGAAACGTTGGTGAAATATAGTGAGGTGCTGTCCTTAGTCCTTAAGAGTATGTAGCATGATCACTTTTCTCCAAGGGAGTCATGATTGAGAGGTTGTCGGTTAGAAATTTTATGTTTGTAAGTATGCAGTCTAAGTATTATGGCGTCTGGCTATTTCTCCATCGAGCTGCTAACTTCACGGCAGTCGACCGCAGTCTTACGATCTTGACTCACTCTCACTCCAAGATCCTTGTGAGACCGGGCCACGGACTCAGGCACTTCCCCTATGCTGTACCCATTTGACTTTGTATCCTCAATGTGCAAGTAGATACACTTTGCCGTAATTGGGTTGGAATCCAATGCTGTATTCTTGTTGTGTAATCTATGTCCGAGAACAGTCATTCCGGCTACTTGATTACAAATTGGGTCTTTGATATTCATGACCCACTCTCAACTTGATTTGGACACTAATTGGGGTTTCTTATTGCACACAACTTTATGTGCCACAAAATTGTCTGTCCCGCCAACGGTGTCCAAACCTCACTAGCAAATCACAGTCATAAAGAATCGCTCTCTTCTACAGCTAAGACGCGAAAACCACTACTATGCATAGTGCAAACGAACTAAAGACAGCATATATGGGTAATTGAGACCAGTAAGGAACCAAGGCATAAAGACAATCAGAAGACAGGCTTTAGTATCAGACAAACCAGATCGGTAAACGTCTCTCATTCGAAGAGCATATCCCATCACGTAGATTCTCTTTGACAAGCCAAAACCAGATTTTCTCAATTGCTATATCCTAGTGGCCCAACCAGTGACAACGGTGACGTTGCCGACATTCTGGCATAACAGTACTTTCGGATAATTCAACCATCCTGCACTAAGCAAATTGATGAGAACTTCACAAGAAAGCCAATAGCAGTCTTAGAATTGAAGCTAAGCGCTGAACCAGTGTACCAGAAAGTGCAGCATCCAAATACGTACACTTCTGATCCGGATATGGTCCATCCTGCAATACTTAGAGAAGCGGCTTTAGTTTTGACAAAACTGCTTAGCTTGATGTTCACATATTCGCCGAGACATGGTATTAGAAAACTGTGAGCTGGTGCACATTACACAAATTTCTAAAAAAGGCCAACGTTGTGAACCTGTTGTGGCACTGTGCCTAACCACACAGTCCTCAAAGCTGAACACGAGACAACTGGGAAAATAGCTATTCAACATTTAACGCGAGAAAAAACCCAACGATGGAGAAGGCGGAAACAATTAATTGAATTAGTTCGGGTTGATCAAATGGCGTAGCTCGGCTTTGCAGGCATGATCCTACTTATATAACAGCCTTTTGTCTTATGAAATATAATGATCTATTTCCAGCCTCAACGTGTATTGATGATTGTGACAATACGAATGAATCAGTGTAGGTAATGATGTGACATCTACGTAGGACTTTATAGATTAAGCAATTACATCATGACAAATCTACGATTTTAAAACTAAGTCTATTATTAGAGCAGTACTAATGTGGTGTGCGCTACTTATATTGATATAAGTAGTATATGTCGCGAGTTGAAACGTAATATCTGGCAGCAGAAGATGAGGTGATGATCAAGAAAGGAAGAGCGAGAGCACAATGGAATTTGTAAGAAAACGCATGTACAATGGAATGGGAGACAATGGATTAGTATTTGCAACGGAAACAGTCCAGTTTGATATGATGTATTGATATTTTGCAAATTGACGATTGACTTCATGGTATTCAGATTTTATTGAGGTAGTCTGTAATTTTTGTGCTAAATACATTCGATTGTCCCCACCCGTGTTCTTGTTCACTACACTGATATCATAGTAGACCGTAATTCTACAAGCCTTCCAGCTACCTGTCAGGAGCACTTCTCTCAATACCCCAAATGTTAAAAACTTCCTGGTATGCAAAGATCAGCGTGACTGCTTATTACCCAGAAACCTTTTAGTATCCAAACAACACGGTTTCAATAATGGTCACTCTTGTATAACCAACATGCTGACCACGGTGGACAGATGGACAACCATTCTTGATAGCAAGAGGAAGGTTGATGTCGTGCACCTTGATTTCTCCAAAGCTTTTGATAAGGTCAACCATATATGTCTTTTCAATAAGCTTAAACGGTTAGATATCAAGTCACTGCTAATAAACTGGCTTACTTCATATCTAAGTGATCAACATTTTAGGGTCAAGGTAAACTTCGCTCTTCCTCAGGCAACAGAATGTCCTTGTGTGTTCCATCACGGTCGGGTACTGGAACCCTTTCTCTTTTTAACTTGAATGACCTTCCTCAGAAACTATCGCTCAATGTGAAACTGGAGAGGAGTATGTAACCATGATCATCATGAGGATCTGACTCGGTGGATGAGAGTGAACAAATAATCGGGTTGAAATCCAGTTCTTTGTTCTTTTTGTGTAATTTATGTACGAGAACAGTCATTCCGGCTACGTGATTACAGATTAAGTCTTTGATATTGAGCACCTTTCCCCACTAGTGCACAGTGATCACACTGTACTTTACTTTAAGTTTAAGACACATGGCATACCATTTGTATCTGCTCCACCCCGTCCCGACATCTGGCGAGCTAATATTCCGGCAATCAGAAACTGTGCTTTCTTGACTGATTAGTCAGTCAACGCGGATGGATTGATCGAAGATGAATGGAATAAGTTTAAGGCTACATTCTAGTTCGTAACGTCGCCGTTTATCCCATGGTCAGCACGTAAGCTATCACATTGCCCTCCATGGATTAATAAAACTTGGAAGCTGGTAATGCTTAGGAAACACTTCTGGGACTTATTGTTGTTGACAGGTCATGCACCATTTAAGCTTGAGTACCGAAAATTCCGTAATATCGGTAAGAAAACCATAGCCAAATCACGTACCACTTACGAACGACAGTTAGTATATGATAGACGTACTTGTCCGAAACGATTGTTTTCGTATGTTAAACGGCGAATGAAACGTAGTGATGGTATTCCCCCGTTGCTGTTACACGAAAATTCAGATTTACTAGCTAATCAGATCGAGCAAAAGCTGAGACTTTTTCAAACTATTTTAGCAAAGTCTACTCTACGTTTATTGTAACAAATACTTGTCCCACTCACACCGAGATACCAACCATTGGATCTGTACGGGTGACTGAGGAAACTGTCCTTCCGTTGATAACTAACCTCAAACCTGGTAAGATACCGGGCCCTGACGGGTTACATCCACGGCTGCTGTCATCTCTTGCGGACATTATTTCAAAACCGCTCGCGACACTCTTCAACATGTCCCTTTCACTCGCTCAACTCCTTACAGATTGGAAAGACGCTACAGTCAGTCCTATATTTAAGGATGGTCAGAGACAGATCGTATCTAACTACCGGCCTGCCAGTTTAACTAGCATTGTCGTTAAGTTACTCGAAAGGATAATTCGGGTTAGATTGCTAAGCCACATAGATTTACACAATCTGTTAGCTACTGAGCAACACGGATTTCGTAACAAGCGTTCATGCTTGACTAACTTGCTTAATGCGAGGGAGGATTGGACAGCAGCCTTAGATAATGGTCTGTCCGTCGATGTGATATTCATAGATTTTAGCAAAGCATTTGACAATGTTTCACACTTAGGTCTTATGCAGAAGCTTACGAGCTTCAGAATAATAGGTACTGTACATGAGTGGACAGGCAACTTATGTGAACGCAGACAGAGAGTAAGGGTCAATGGGACGCTGTTCGATTGGAAGCCAGTCAAAAGTGATGTACCCTAAGGCACCATCTTAGGCCCTCTGCTCTTCCTTCTCTACGTTAATGAGTCACCACTGTTGCTTAGGTCGTCGACATTATTGCTTGCGGATGACGTAAAAATCTAGAGAAAAATAAAAACTGAGGCTGATCATCTGGATCATCAAGCTGACTTAGACGATTTAGTTAGATGGGCTCGACGTTGGGGCTTATAAATCAATCCTAGGAAGGGTGTGCTAATGCACATCGGTCATGGTAATAGTTACCATTATACTATTGAGGGTAAACCTCTTCCATGGGTTCAAGAGCATAAAGACTTAGGAGTAGTAATAAGTCATGACTTAAAAACAACTACTCATTGCAGCACAGATGCTATCAAAGGTTTACGTGAGTTATGTTCGCTTTGACGAGGAAAAGTTTCGAATTTTATATCCCACCTATGTAAGACCGCATTAAGAGTACTGTTTCCAAGCAATTAGCCCATGTCTATTAAAGGATACTAACTCATTTGAGAGTGCTCAGAGTATGTGAACGAAGGATCTTTCTAAACTGTCTTACGATAAGTGTTTAAAACGCCTTAACCTTTCCCCCTTGTCGTATCGTAGGACGCGAGGTGACCTTATACTGGCATTTCGTATACATAATTATTTGTCTGCAACAGAGACGGGGGTTTTATAGGTCATATCTGATGGGATCGTTAATGCTGTGGAACAAAGCTAAGGTGATTGTGATCTGTAACAATTTGAAATCAAATCATGCTGATGATCCTACTTCTACGTCCCTCTAGTTTATATACGTAATATCAGCACCTTCTGTTGATCCATTAAAAACGAGATTGGACCTCCACAGTGTTACGAATTGCAAAAATTATTATCGGTCGGATAACCTCAATCCTTACTATTGTAGGCTGGCTGACCGGCAAGTACAACTACTGCGGTACAGGGCTTGCACGTTGCGATGTTGTTGTCATCACGAACGGGTGATGAGTATGATTTCGACTC